TCAATCGACGCTTGCGATCTGAACCTACCAATAAATTACGGGTAGGTTTATTTACTAGCGTAGTTAAAAAAAATAGTTTTAAAAACTAAAAAAGCACGCTTTTTATAGAAACCAAACTTAAAAATAGAAAATAAATTTTAAAAAAGCGTTGGGTGCCTGTTGTCAATAGTAAGAAGTACCCCACGCGTTTTTTTAAATTTATTAAAATTTATTTTCTATTTTTTAGTTTGGTTTCTATAAAAAGCGTGTTTTTTAGTCTTTTAAAACTATTTTTTTTTAAATTAGTGTATTGTCATCGGTCCTCGATATATCTACAAAGTTTGAACGAATTGTGACCGTTTAAAGTCAGTCAAAATCACGCCCACAGGAGTCGGTTACAAACATACAAGTGAAGCTAATATAAAGCGTGTAAATAGAGCACCAGAGACACCTACAATGCTAGCTTAAAAGATTAAATCTTTCCCGCCACAGGTGCAAAGCGTTATTTTCACCCCACGCTACATCGTGCCACTCCGTAGTAACTAACGTCTAAGGAAATCTCTGTACGAGCGATCAATGTTTTGATAGCCTGTTCAATCCAGTACATTGTATCTCGTCTGAAGTCCCACCTATAATAAGAACCAAAAAGAAACAACCTTAGTGTACCTACACTTATGTATCGACATTGGCTAACGATTTTTGTTGTTTCTGCCGAAATCGGCCGATAGATACTGCATAAAAAGTATTCCCCAAGACTGCATGTGAATACCAGTAACGCGATTGAAATAAATAATCATCATCATCATCAACAGCCTTTAATAGTCCACTTCTGGACATAGGCCTCTCCTTAGAAAGGAGGTTTTGGCCACTGTACCATGCTGGTTGATATAAAGTTTGTTTCAAGTTTTCTTTCTCTTTACAGCAAATAAATACATATGTTAAACATAAACAAATGCAAGAACTCAATCAAATTTTAAACTAAGAATTAAAAACGTGACCTAGTGTCACGTATTTAATTCTGGTTTGCCTCTGCCTTTGCCTATTTACTAATAATATTTATTGATGTAAATGAATAACATTTCACTTATACACAAACAGTATAACTCAAACTTCCACACCAGGTGTTCATGTAATAAAGTCTCGTGTTATTTAAAAATTTTGAATACCATCGATTATTTGCCATAGTACTGTAAACTGTGGTCGTTTGACAACTCAAGCATTCGTAACAGAGGAACTGATTAAGCGATTCTCAATGATCACTGCAACATAGTAGTAGATATTACAGAATACTTTCTGTAATATCTAAGACTTAGATCTAACTAGGTGGTCCGCTGCCAATATCAGACTGAATGATCTTATGGAGTCACTCTCGTAAGCTATCAATTAATTGTTCTATGTTGATTTTATCTCTCTTTCGAACAAGTTTATTATAAATTACCATCATTAGAACTTGATCCTTTCAACAGCGCACGTGTCCTGGCTTAGCATCTGATGTTTGCTAAAAATAGTACTAACTGGGTGTATGTCTCAAGAAAACTAGAGGCTAATATTATTTTTATCGCCATGTTATAGCTAGTGATGTAACTGGATATCGACATATTAACAGTCATATAGTAATACTTGGTATTAATATATAGGATATGAGTTAAACGCTTTCGATAATACGTTCTTTATGTCCATTTCCTTTATGTTTGTAAAGTCCCCCACTACACAATATATATTCCTAATGTGGGAGTTCCCTTTAAAAAAAAAGAAGACTGAAAGCCTACTGGATGAGTAAGGCCACTGGAGCCCAAACCCCTCATAACTCTGGGGAGAGACTTAAAGGGCGGCAACGCACTTATGACTCCTTAGTGCAGGTGTCTGTTTGTGGCTAGTCACTTACCATCAGGTGAATTTTCAGCTCGTTTGTCACATATATACCTAAGCATAACAAGCATAACATAAAAAGCAATTATAATTTGTACATATTTTATAAAATTATTATGTATTGTGTAATAACTGGTACTAATATGCATATTGGCATAATTACAAAGATTATAATATTCACACTTGTCTAGCTTGTAATTACTAATGTATAAATTTATATTATTTCATGTTTAATCATAAACTTGCACAGTTTACACGACAACAAGAACCGCATCGAACCTACTGTGTATATTGCGAATCGTATAACGTACAAACGCTATTCTAAATTTAAATATCGTCGAGCGAGCGAGACAGAGTGTGCTCGTGCGCAGCTACAAGGATTAACTTAATTTGGATAGCGTAAGAAATAAAACGTGTTAACACATACACATGTACCTTTTCTCCTATATCAAGAATGATAACTAAATACAAAAAAAAAACACTTCAAAAATACAAAGATTATGTTTTAATCGATAGATCTGTTTACACTAAATATACATGTCAAACATATACCAAAATTAAAAATCTAATGTTTACCTGAACAATGGTAACAAAGATATCGGTATGATTCACATCGTTCGTTTCTTGGACTACTCATGTTCTAAGTCTAGATCCGCATTGTTAATTATTTTATAACCAAGGTCTTATGTAGTAATTGGTTTCAATCAATCTTAACTTTAATATTAGTTGAGGATTATTCTTTAAAACTTCAGTACTGCTAATTTATGGTATGATATAATAAAGTGAAGTCAGACAATAAACGATAGTTTACCAATTGCCTTGTGTTGATCATTGATTAGTTTTAACAAAAGCAGAGGTTTTGGTACATATAAAAATATTATAAATCACACGTGACAAAAATAATATAATGGAATTATATTATTTTTCTAGAAATTTACTATCATTTTATGATAACCCTCCCTGAATTTTAACAAAACTTAATATCTAAATAATTCTAATGTCCAAACGGACATTAAAGTTTCAATAGCGTCTCAGGTTAGGTCATATTTACAGACATTTTTAGAACTTGTTAAAACTAATAGATGCGGTTCTCTCTGATACTGGTTTTAGAGATACACCATCCGTCTGTGTCCATGAAATTGCCTGACGTTTTAATCAGTTTGTACACTGGTCAAAACGTAAAAGAGGGGCATGTGTCTATGGGTGGCGATTGTGACTAATAACCAGGTGACCCTCGTTTGCTCTCTATTGCATAAAAAATCTCCTCACATTAAAATAGATTTAATTTTCTCAGTTTAGTATTTTATACGAGATAATCAAAGTGGTGTGCAATGGGAGAGGCCTATGTCCAGCAGTGGACTGCGATAGGCTGATGATGATGATGAACCAATAGGTCTAACGGCCTTGGTGTTTGCTACTAGTTATGGTTCGATACACATTTGTGCATATCCTGCTCTCAAAAAGTTATTGGCAAGTACCGATTATTTAATTAACTTTTTATGTGCATGACTGATAGTACTTCACAATATTCTCAAAAGATTGCTATGTCCACTAATGTAGTAATTCAACAGTAGCCTAGACTATGTTAAACTAAAAGTCGGCCCAAGTCCAGTAGTGGAACAGTTTATAGACTTCTTCGTGGTCTCTTCACTACTGGACATAGGCTTCCCCTATGTTTTGCCACAACAACTAGTCCTGTGTTGCCTGCATCCGACGGCTTCTTGCGACCTTCAACAGGTCGTCGGACCGGGTACTCACGCTCCGTTCATAGAAATAGCCTAATATATTGGTAAAAAAATAATAGTTGTTATGTACAAAAAGTTAAGAGATATTTATTTCCCTATCCAGTCTCAAGTTAATCCACGTCAAACAGACTTGTCTTGCGCTTGCACACGCTGCACCTCCCCGCACCCCTCTACGCTACCCCGCGTGCGTAAACGTGACCTCGAGCCGTGAACTCTAACTACGCTCTGTTTTTTGTCTCCGTTCTCGTGCTAAGATTGTTTTATCATTAACATTTGAGATTGTATTGTGGAATAATATTGGCACTACTACAATATATTAATTTTTATATCTCGTCAGACATGTTAAAGACATTTTTATTTTTATTTTTATATGATATTGGCGCTTATGGGCGGCAATAGTCACTTTCCGTCAGGCAACCCATCTGCTCTCTGTATATAATAATAATAATAAGAGCCTCGACCAATATCTTCAGAGACTCGTGTAAGGCAGCTGCCTTTAAGGGCCTGATGCAGAAAGCAATACGATACCTACGGCACGTATTATGTGGAGGTTTCTGTCTCTGGAGCCCTAATCATTTTTTATATTTTTAAATGTATTTTGTTTTTCTTGTACCTAAATATATTTAAAAACGTAAATTATGTGTATATTTAATGTAATAAAGAGTATAATAATAGTAACTTTATTACAGGCATTCATAGAGACCTCGTGGCGGCCATCGGAGTCGGAGTTCTCTCGCTCGATAACCTAAGTGCGGCTATCGTGCGGAGCGAGAGTGCGTGGAACTCTGCCGTCTCCTTCTGCGAGCTTACGAAGGAGATGTCAGAGTGGGACCGGAGAGGTTTAGAACTCTCCCGGCCCGCCAGTTTCGGAAACGAGCCAGGTACCGCAGACGACTTAGGCGCATTCATAAGCGCAGGCCTGGGGGTGACAGGTGAGGCCATCTGTCTCGCCCTTCCGGGAGCACAGTATAGTACAGTATAGTACAGCAGATATTACATAGATATTCAAACTTTTTGTTGAAATGACACCTAAACCAAAAATAAAAATGTCTTCAAAATGTCATCCTTAAAAACAATATAGTTTAAACTGAAAACTTAACAATATTCAAAATTACTGTCCTAATCATATTTTCTAATACAAAATAAGTTATACATTGATATAAATCACAATAATTATGTATTAATGAAAATAGTACCCGGGCCAGGAATGAGTACGCCAGTTGACTGATTTCAAACCCGAAGATCCGGATATTCAGTTTGTTGTTATTTGTAAACTTATCAAGTATGTAGTAATAAAGCTAAATGTTATATTTCTTTCAAGTGCAATGTGTCTCGTAGTCCTGTTACACTATTCGTCGTCTGAGGATGTTTAATAAATTTATTACTTTCTCTTTAACAGAATAAATAATGGAGCAGATCTTTATGATTGAAGTGTTTGTAAAAAAGATCATATTGAAAATAGAACCACCTGAAAAAGATGAATATGAACTGCAAATGGAAGCAGAAGCGAAAAAGAGAGAAGCGGAAGAACTTGCAGCACTAGAAGCAGCAGCTGCGGCGAAAAAGAAAGGGAAGAAAGGTGGTAATAAAGGTGGTGGCAAGAAGAAAGGAAAAAAAGGAAAGGAACCTCCACCTCCAACAGAAGAAGAAATGAAATTTTTACAATCATGCACATTGCAAATGAGCTGTCTGCCACTTTTTGATTTCTATATAGCACACGATAATTTCATTCCACCTCCTCCGCCTGAACCTCTTCCAAAAAAGGTAAAAAGAAGCCAAAACCTAAGAAAGGCAAGAAAGGTAAAAACGCCCCAAATAAAATTATTCTTCCTTCAGAACCCCTACCCCAGGTACCCTTTTTTTGGCGTTGGTAATGCTGCTATATTTCTATCAAGGCCTTCGAAACTAGAAGAAATATTAGAAAAGACTCCAATTTACATAACTGTTTGGAACAGAGACCAGGAAATGAACTGCATAGGTTTCGTTATTGTCAATTGGCATGAAACTTTCTTTGAGTGCCTTAAGCTGGCAAGCGAACTAAACCCAGTAGACATGGATAAAGGAGAATATAGAAGCACAAAGAAATCAGAAATGGCGACAAATACCATAGAAATGACACGACCATTGCAGTGCGAAGAAGATTTAAAAACTTCTGGTGAAATTGAATTCTATGTTAGACTTACTTGTATGGTAATAGCATGTTAGCTACTTCATCTCTTTACCAGAAGCAGAACGTTTACCTGGACGAAAATATTTAAGCGATAATTTAAAATTAAAAGACGTTGAAGTTGTAAGGCATTGGGAGGGGACATTAATCGATGATGTTTTGCCAGTGGCATACTTTTTTGGAGCACCTGATATAACTCGAGAACCTATTCGTCCACCCGAAGAAATTGTGCTGACTGAAGATTACACCGCACCGTATACTAACGAGGAGTTGGCAATTCTTGCTATGGGTTTTCCTAAAGGTCCTTGTGGGGGTACAAATTGTCCTAAGAGAATGGAATATAGAGGTAGTCAACACCAATTCATTGCAGGAGAGATGATGAAAGGTAAATACCAGCATGGTCAATTTGTAAATAAGAGAGATGTTCATGGTCCTTGTGGCAGACTTGATTGTGCTTTAGCAAAGAAAGTTCGTCAATATCTCGCCAATGAAGGCGTTTACAAGGTTTGTAAAAAGCCTTGTTCCAAAGATTACTACTAGAAATAGTGAAATTTTGGATTGATTTTTTTTTCTGCCGTTTGTTAGTAAAGAATGTTGTCAACTGTGCTGACTTATTAATAAAAATGTAACAGTTATATGATAAGCTGACGCTTATTATTTAAACAAGATACTTTTGTATATCACGATTAGTCTTATGCCCCTGAAGTTTACAATAACCTCTGATTTTGGTCATATACAGTAGTAGTTAGGGACCAACAGGAAGCAGTTAGAACTGCTTACTCTTTGATAACAAAAAATAAAAAGTAGCATCTAATTAAACATAAAATACTTGCCTTTTATTTGTTTATTAAATTATGGGCTGTACACCTTTACCATTTTCGATAACTGAATACCATAACACGGCAAAGTGAAAGTTAAAACACTGATTTTTGTTTGACCTTTTGGTCTAGTTAGTAATACTACTGATTGCTACTATACAGTAGTGGTTAGTGATCCTGACTGCTATGCCTGAGGTTGTGGGTTCGATTTCCACCCAGGACAAATAACAGTATAGCAACAGTACAGTTTGTTACAAGATCCCTGGTTTAGCCAGGTGGTCAAATACATACATTCGATTCATATACATTCGATTGAATCATTTTATGCATTCGTTCAGCAATCAGCAATTAATTGTTCTATGTTAATTTTAATTCTCTTATTGGCAAGCTTAGCATAAATTAACATTATAACTATAACTTGGTCAATAACTAATAACTATAACTTGATCTTACTTATAACTTGATCCTGTCAACACACGTATTTTGGCTTAACATCCTGATATAAGCTAAAAATAAAGCGAACTGGATTAATAATTCAAGAGCCAGGCAATATGGACTTTATTATAACTGGTTGTAGCTAGTAATAATTTATCTGCTATTGAGTCTTATCCATCTATAATCGCAAGTATATTAAGAATATTGTTAATTTTCTAGGGCTGGGATCTGTTTTGAGATTGTACCTAGAGTTCTGTATTTATAATTACAAATGTTAATAATGCAAAACATTTTAAAATGTACTTGTACGTATACTTAGTGTCACCAGATACCGTTTTGTGCAATTCCGTCTACGGTGGGATTCGCCTGCTCGACGAACGAGTAGATCGGTCGCTGGATGATGGTAAGTGCCTACCGTCCCCTATGAACACCTGCAACTCAAGAGTCATAATTGCATTGCCACTGTCCCTGTCCCAGAATTCTGAGTGGGGGTTTGGACTCTGATAATCTCACTACTCTACTCTTTCCATGTGTGACGGATTAAGAATACAGAATGTCACCACCTCTATTCATCCGCGAGGGTCGTAAAAGTCGACTAAGGGAGCAAAACGATTCTGAAATTAAACTCCGACAAACATTTCGCTGCGACAACGAGTCGCCGACAGAATGTTTCGTTTATGAGTTGTTCAAAGACAGAACCTTTCAAATACGCTTTTTATAAGACCTAATCAACGACAAAACCCTGCCGCTACGAACGTTTCGCGACAGAACGATTAATTCATGAAGAATCGACGACAGCATCTTACTACTATTCGCTACTACTAGGACACATTAGTTTGTTTTATTCAAATGAGAAATGTGCGCCCAGACATTTAAGAAGGTTTTATGTCCACATCATCATTTTCTGACTTCGTTTACAAATGAATTTGAAGAGTCGCATCACTACGGTAAATTTACACTATATTTTTGCTTAAAACAGTGAAAAACTTACAGATTATACTTTAAAAACACCATACACAACCTTGGGCCGCTTGGGCAAACCGGGAACTGGTAGCGGAAAAACACAAAAACAATATTTAAATTGTTAGCATACGATAGTGTGATAATGTGGCCTATGAACTTTAGGATTGTTTTGTTAATCATAATTGATTTGTTGTCTCATTGTTTTGGTAAAAACCAGGTTCTGTAGGTAATTGTTAACAATAAGTTATTTTCATTTGCAAATATTTATCATTGAACATTTCAAAATAAATAATTTATAGATTTAGTCACTAGTTGTGCTAAGCCATGACTAAATAAGCTTTATCCATGAAACCTTTTTTGATGTAAGATTATGTCGTCAATTCACTAATGAATCGTTCTGTTGGCGAAACGTTCGTAGCGGAAAGGTTCTGTCTTTGATCATAAACAAAACATTCTGTGGGCGAGTCATTCGGCAGCGAAATGTTTGTTGGAGCTTTTTTTTTATGTGAGAGGGGGCAGACGAGCAGACGGAGAGAGTTAGTTTAATTACAGAATCGAGCAAACTCTTCAGGACAACAACACTGCAAAAAGAAAGAAAACACGAAACCAATAGGAGGCCAAAACCTCCATTTTAAGGAGAGGTCCATGTCCAGCAGTAGACTGTTAGGGGCTGTTGATGATGATAAACCTCACTCACTCGATGAAAGAAACAAAGGAATTGCTCAACAGCGTTTTCTTTGAACCTATGGTATCACTCCGGTCGAGCTGGCCCATTTGTAGGCCCTTTAACTACCATTTGAGCATAAGGATTACATCGCTTTGCTCAAATGTACTTTTGTAACTGGTCGTTACTTTGTTCCTTTATTACTGGGGTTGCGTATGTGTACAGAGAGAAATAATAAGTCTATGAACAACTTATTTAAATTTATTAATCACGACTGTATACAATATATATGGGTGTGCTGTAGTACGGTATACAAGACGACCACGGGACAACTGTGGTTCACAGCGCACTACAGTACCGATAACTCAAAACGTTGCGTCAGCATTCCCGCAACACTATTTCCCTCTTTTTTTAAAAAAATATTTATATTTTTTTTCTTTTGTTTTTTACAACACAAAATCTTAATTCTAATCAGTATATTTATCAAACAATATTTCTTGTGAATTTACTTTGTCACCAAAGGTGACATCATCTTTCTGCTCAATCAACAGTTTGCAACTTAATATGAGTACTATGCTATGTATTGTTATGCGATAAGCCTGTGAATACATTCCAACATTGTAATAGCGACAAAAGTTTTAACATTCATTATCACGCTATTTAAAATTTAGATATCAGCAGCGTACTTAAATATTAATTTACCATGACTTTAACACAATTATTTATTCTTATATTACGCATATAATATAATATGTTTGGGTTACATTTTGTTATCCTTTCTTGACATCGTTGTGGCCGGACACCAACAACACAAACCATGCAGCTTGTTCTATGACCGAATCGCAAAATATAACACACACTATTAAATCGTTACAAAATAATTTCAATCACATACACACTTAATAACATGAATGCACGAAGATTTCTCGATCAATAATCAGTAAACCACTTTATGAGGTGCAGACGTTCCATTATTAATTTGCGGCGGTTGCATAGTTTCTACCTTAATATTTGGTAAGGTTATAGAACTAGCAACCATTTCTTTCTTCACCCATTTCCTGACGCCTTTAGCACATTTTCGTTTTAATGCATATCCAATCACTATAATCAGTAGTACTATAATAATTATCATAACGATACCAATCATATTCAACTTGTTATCTACTTGAGCTGTGCTGGATATATTTTCGTTAACAACAACTTTGTCCTTTGTCTGTAAGTTGCCCATTTCCTAATTAATCAACTACGACGTACAGGTATCAAACACTAAATGAATTTATAATACATTTTCTATTTCATATTAACACGTAATTATATAACCAAATGTCCTAGTTAAATTATTGTCTAATCAGCAAAATTAATTGTTACAAATACTTCATTGGCTTTTTGCTGACTCGTCCTGTTCTCGTAGTATAACCAAAGCTACTGGGTTCGGCTGTTTGAAAAGTTACTTTTTTCTGAACTTTTTGACAGACAGTTTTACCACTATTATCTACTACTTCCGGTTGTACAGTATCCTCTGCTAACATAAATGCAGGTTTAAGACGGTCTATAGAAACTCTAAGTTGTCTGTCTGGCAATTGTACACAAAAAACTTTATCAGTTCTATTAATGACGCGATATGGTCCGTCGTAAGGAGGTTGTAACGGTTTCCTTACTGCGTCATTTCGAACAAACACATAATCGCACGTATACAAATCTTTATGCACAAAAATTTTACGTGATGATCTATTTTCTCTACTAGACGGTTTATATTCGTCAATAACTTCTTTTAACTTGCTAACGTAATCATTATCATCACACGATTTCACATTGCTTCCATCATAAAAATCACCAGGTAATCTAATATTATTACCATACAACATTTGTGCAGCGGTTACGCCTGTATCTAACCTAATTGTCGTGCGTAATCCTAACATTACAGTTGCCAGTTCATCTACCCAAGACTTATTGCTTAAACGAGCTGTAATTGCAGTTTTCAACGATCTATGCCAACGTTCTACTGTTCCATTGCACTGAGGATGATACGGGGTGGTTCTTGACTTTTTAATTCCCATTAATAACATTAGTTTTCTAAATAAGTTACTTTCAAATTGTCGACCTTGATCGCTTGTAAGTTTAACTGGACAACCAAAACGACTAATCCAACCCTCGTATAACGTCTTTGCGATTACTTCTGCAGTCATTTCCTTTATAGGAAAAGCTTCTGGCCAACGTGTAAATCTATCCACTATGGTTAAACAATACCTATATCCTTCAGTTGTGATTGGCAAAGGACCTATTAAATCTATATGTATATGCTCAAAACGTTTAGTAAACTCAAATTGTCCTAAATTAGATACTGTATGCTTCTGTATTTTCGCTCGTTGACAATTTATACATGTTTTGGCCCAATTACCGATGTCTCTATTCATATTTGGCCAAAAATATCTATCTGCTATTATTTTTCTACTAGCTCTAATGCCTGGATGGCTCAAGTTATGTATCGAATCAAAAGCTAAACGCCTAAATTGTTCCGGTAAATAAGGACGTATGTTATTAGTAGATGTTTCGCAAACAACATGCTTATTGGGTACATTTAAAGTTACACGCTTAAATATCAACTTACAGTTGTTATCCGATTCACTAAGAATTTTTGCAAGCTGTTCGTCGACTTCCTGCGCAACTGCCAGTTCTGCGAAGTCGATAATCGTGGGACTTGTTATTGTTTCAATTCTAGATAATGTGTCCGCTACAATATTATTTTGACCACTAATATGCCTTATATCAGAACTAAATTCACTAATAAACATGATTTGCCTGGCCCGCCTTGATGTTTCTCTATTTGTACCTGATTTCGTAAATGCAAAAGATAAAGGCTTATGATCAGTATAAATAATTAAATTTTGACCTTCAATTAAATAACGAAAATGAATTATGGCTAAATAAATTGCTAAAAGTTCTCTATCATACGTGCTATATTTCTTTTGCACTTCTGTTAACTTTTTAGAAAAATAACCTAAAGGTTTCCATTTGTCAGCAATTTTTTGTTGTAATACTGCACCTACGCAATTGTCTGACGCATCTGTCATTAATGAGAACGGTGTGTCTATAGATGGATAACCTAACAATGCAGCATTTTTAAGATCTTCCTTACATTGTTCAAAATTTTGTTCGGCCTCTATTGTCCAATTAATTTTACTTTTATCTTTACGTTTAGAAGAACTTAAATACTTATATAAATGTAATTGGTGGGCTGCCGAATGCGGTATGTGTGCTCTATAAAAATTTAACATACCCATAAATCTTCTTAGTTCCTCAATAGTGTTAGGTTTTGGAAAATCAATAATAGCTTTAACCTTATCCGTTAAAGGTATAATTCCTTCAGTTGTGACTTCGTAACCTAAAAAATCTAATTTTGTCTTTCCGAAACTACATTTAGCGAAATTAATTGTTATCCCATACTCGTTAAATCTTTCAAAAACTTTAAGTAAATGCTGTTTATGCTCGGTTTCATTATCTGAGGCAATTATTACGTCATCCAAATAATTAAATAAAAAATCTAAACCTTGTAAGACGGTGTGGTGCATAAAGCGCTGAAAAGTTTGTGCTGCATTACGCAATCCGAAAGGCATTCGCATAAATTCAAATAACCCAAAAGGTGTTATGACAGCCGTTTTCTCAATGTCATTTTCGGCTACGGGTATACAATTATATGCTCTATTTATATCTAACTTCGTAAATATTTTCTTATTCGACAAATTATACATAAAATCGTGAAGACGGGGAACTGGATAACGATCCGGTTTAGTAATCGAATTTAAACGTCTATAATCACCGCAAGGTCTAATATTTCCATCCTTCTTTGGCACGATATGTAAAGGACTTGCCCAAGCGCTATTACTCGGCCTACAAATCCCAAGCTCTTGCATAACTTTAAATTCATTTTTAGCTTTAACATACCTGTCTGGTGGTAGCTGCCTACTTTTCACGTGCACTGGTGGTCCTGTGGTCTCTATGTGATGACAAACGCCATGTTTAGGTGTCTCCTTATATGAAACAGGCATAGTTAACTCGGGAAACTTACATAATAAATCATAATAAGGGCAATTATCAACAATTGTCTTTACAGTGGACTCAGTTGAACTCGAAATGGTACCTCTAATGCTTAAATTAGTTAACTGATCGATTAATCTTCGTCCGTTCAAATCAATTAACAGCTTATGCTTAGCTAAGAAGTCAGCACCTAATATTGGTTGCTGTACGTCCGCTAATATAAATAACCAACGGAAAGCTCTTCTAAGGTTAAGATCTAACTCTAAAAAAATGCGTACCATATGTATTAATCTCGGTTCCATTCGCGGCATACAATTTATAACGTACATTATTTTATTACCTTTAATATGTGCTATGCTGCGGGGTAGCACAGACACATTAGCACCGCTATCCACTAAGAAAGTTAAACCTGTTTTCCTGTCCATCACACAAAGACGGTTGTTAGAATCTACGCGGCCACAGCCTCCCGTCGTCGGCTGCACCGACGTTAGTTTTCCGACGGCTTGACATCTTTCTTCCAGTTGCACGGCTGGACGCACTTATTTGCCCGATTCTTGTATCGATAATGATAGTAACACAACCAATTGGGATCTTCAGGTGTCTTCCCACGCGTCCTTGACTCTGATGACGATCGCGATCTTGATCCGTAACGCCTTCTGTTACTTTTCTGCCAGTGCCTTCTTGATCTAGTTTCTAATTTTTCAAGTCTTTCGCTTATTTTATCAAGGTGGGCTATTACCAAATCGTCTTTATTCAAGGTCAGCGATTTTCCTTCCACCGCAGCGATACTGGGTATTTCGGTAGGCATGTTTAACGTAATCACGACTCGTATAAGTACCGATATTAAAAAACAACACTACAGCACAAGTGAGTTGCCCGTTCTAAACAGTCTCAATCTGTACACAATATCACAAAAGTTCTTTAAAATTACCAAATCACAGTTCAGTCGGGGTCACCACTTTTGTAACTGGTCGTTACTTTGTTCCTTTATTACTGGGGTTGCGTATGTGTACAGAGAGAAATAATAAGTCTATGAACAACTTATTTAAATTTATTAATCACGACTGTATACAATATATATGGGTGTGCTGTAGTACGGTATACAAGACGACCACGGGACAACTGTGGTTCACAGCGCACTACAGTACCGATAACTCAAAACGTTGCGTCAGCATTCCCGCAACAGTACGTACGTAATCGACTAAACACCCAGTCAGCCCGTGAAAACGGTGCCACCAAATACTTATTAATCTAGATTCCTGTAAAAATAAAAATACATAATTTATAATTAGTCATATCAGATAAAATATTTCCAAAACAATTGCTCTATTTATTTAATCAGCAACGGGTACACAAACACTGCGTTTCTAAACCTCATTATATTATTTTATCGTATTTACTATCCATCATCATCCGATACTTTGAATAGTGAGAAAAGCGGTAATATAGGAACAGTAGGAACTCCACCTTATTACAAACATATTTAAAAACAAAACTGTTTGACAGCTTTCTTATATTATTGCAAAATTGCAAATCTGACATCAATCTACCACAAAGCCAAACAAACTGCCATAAATCAACAAAATGCCATAAATTTTCATCTTCAAATTGTTATTTCGTTACCATTCACTCTAATAGAACAATAATATTTCACAATGTATCAACTAAAAATCACTTAACGGAGAAATGGGACAGGTCAAATAAAAGATTTTTCTACAAGTCGCAATTAAATGATGCAGGTACTATGCTAAGGTAGAACATATAGCACACTTAACCAGTTTATACATACAGAATATACTTTATATTTTTCAATAAGTAATTATAAAATAAAATATACTACAAAAGTCACCATGGAGCAGATTTTTATGATAGAAGTGTTCGTTGAAAAAATAATATTAAAAATTGAACCCCCCGAAAAAGATGAATATGAACTTCGGATGGAAGAAGAAGAAAGGAGAAGAGAAGCGGAAGCTCTTGCAGCACTTGAAGCTGCTAAGAAGGGCAAAAAAGGTAAAAAGGGCGGCGGTGGTGGGAAAAAGGGGAAAAAAGGTAAACAACCACCTCCTCCATCGGAAGAAGAAATAAAATTCTTACAAACATGCACATTGCAAATGACCTGTCTACCACTTTTTGATTTCTATATAGCTCATGATAATTTCATCGCACCACCTCCACCTCCACCTCCTCCAAAAAAAGGTAAAAAAGCTAAACCTGCAAAACCTAAGAAAGGTAAAAAAGGCGCTGTACAGAAAATTGTTCTCCCTTCAGAACCCCTACCGGAGCCACCGTATTTCGGCGTTGGTAACGCTGTTATATTTTTATCAAGAGTTTCCAAATTAGAAGAAACATTAGCCAAAACTCCCATGTATATATCAGTATGGAACAGAAATCAGGATATGAACTGTATAGGGTACGTTATCGTTGAGTGGCACAAATCATTTTTTGAATGTCTTGAGCAAGCAAGTGAATTAAACCCGCCAGACTTGGATAATGGAGAATACAGAAACACTAGGAGAGCAGAAATAGTAACGAATACTATAGTGTTAAAACGATCACTGCAGTGTGAGGAAGACCTGAAAGCATCCGGTGAAATTGAATTCTATATTAAGTTAAGTTGTTTGGGCAATAGGATTATGAGCTACTTCGTATCGTTACCAGAGGCAGAACGTTTACCGGCCCGAAAATATGTAAGCGATGATTTATATTTAAAAGACCTAGAAATTGTGAGGCATTGGGAAGGGACATTAATTGATGACCTTTTACCGGTAGCTTATTTATTTGGAGCACCTGATATAACCAGAGATCCTAAATGTCCAGAGGAAGAAGTTGTAGTGTACGATGATTATGTTATTCCTTATACTAAGAGTGAAATAGAAATTGTTACGATGGGTTATCCTAAAATGACATGTTCGGCTAGAGAATGTATCAGGAGAAGGGGTTATGGTACCAGCAAGCAAGAGGAGAAAAGAAAACATGATAAAAAAGATACGACGGGTCCTTGCGGAAAAGAGGATTGTCCTTTAGGATTGCTAGGGTTTCATCCATTTATCTGTGATAAGGGTATGTACAAAACCTGTAACAAACCATGCGTCACAGAGGATGTGCTACTACAGGACTAATAAAAGTATGGTTGAAATTATGAAAATAGAGCGTTTCGTAACAATTGTCCCATGATGAAGTTTTGATACGAAAAAGTGTCAAAAAATGTAAATAAATAACTAGAAGTTAGTTCTCTATTTTTTTTTCTTTTTTGTGATATGGGGGAAAACTAGTAAACTGGTCGTCTGATGGAAAATGAGATGGTCACTTTCCATCAGACGACACGAACTATCGTGATTATCACACCATTATTAGTCCTGGATGGATATCGAACCCACCCCTTGGCTCAGCAGTCAAGATAACTGAACACTTGACCAACCAGGTCCGTCAGTCCTCATTCATAAAGTGTATTTTACACAGACATGTTGATTTTTAACATACGTTTTTGTTAATTTTAGAGACATCCTGTAAAATAAAAATATATTTCACAAAATGATCTTACAAGCTGCGAATTTTGTAATTAGATTGGATTAACTTTCGCCCATTGTGCTTCAATTATCGACCCTTTTAACTAAACGAAGACATTGCGGTGAATCATTTAGCATACTTTCACTTTTAATTTCACGTTTCCTAACCAGGACGAAACAATTATGTTATGAGTTCATCATTAAGTCCGTATTCTGAATATATTAAAATTAATAAAATGCTTACACATCAAATGAGAGTTTTGATACACCAAAAATAAAGGATCTTCTAGGGGTTTGTATTACTCTTTCATATACATGCTCTGTCTCTAAAGAGAGAGTCAGAGGCATAGTAAGCATCTGCATTTTGCTGTTCCAGCCTATTGTTCAACCGACCAAGTTAGGAATTTGACGGCAAAATTGATAGGGTACTGAAAAAAATCATTGGCGTCTTGCGTCTGTACCAGACACTATCTATACTTCTATCGTCAAACTACCAGTTTGTGGATCGTTGTCAGCTTTGTGCCGCTTCACTCTCTTTGCCGTCAATTTCTTTAACCAAGTGTTATCGTGAATTGCGCGCCTATCGATCACATGCTTCCTTCATTCATCGCGTGGATCGTTATCAGCTTTGTGCCGCTTCACTCCTTGCCGACAATTTCTTTAACCAAGTGTTATCGTGAATTGCGCGCCTATCGATCATATGCTTTCTTCATCCACCGCGATTTTCAGCGACCTTCTCCCAATCCACATGGTTAACTTAAATAAAATCATGTATCATTGAAAGAAGGTAGATAATAAAGGAAGACGATGATAAGAGAAAGAAAGAGAGAGTGTAAACAATAGTTCTAAATCAGGGTGCGAGCCGAACTTGCTGTTGCCGGAGACTCCAAGCCCTCCAATCACTAAAATTTATATAAAAAGATAACATTGCAAAGGGTTTAGGCAGGTTTTCTTTATGACCGCCAGTTTAGGGCGGGCTTTGACGGGCCTGTTAGTCTAGTGGTTAGTGACCCTGACTGCTAAGCCGGAGGTCGTGGGTTCAATTCCCATCCAGGACAAATATTGTGTGATAAGCACTGTCATTTGTTCTGTCTGGGTGTAATTTATCTATTATGTGTTTGTATTCAGAAGTATATAAGTATGTTTATCAGCAGTCTGGTTACCATAGTACAGGCTCTGCCTAGTTTATTATTATTATTCTTTTATAGGCTAGAATATACGAGTAGATATATTTTCAAAGAACCACTATATCTATATAAGGGTTTAAGTTGAGTCAACACTTTTAAATGTGCTAATCGTGCTTAATAGCGTTAATATTTAACAAGGTACAATATCTTTTGGTTTAACAGACATGAGAAAAAAAACCATTTTCTACTTCGGTTGTCATCAAACACATTCAAAACGCCACACCTTTACAAAGTACAGTGAAGAACTTGACTGTAGGTATGGTTTATTGGATTCGTTTAGAATTCGGATGGGCCACAATGTTTTATATAAAAGTATTAGCAATTCAAAAACATTTTCAATGCTCTCTAGTAAATCTCCGACCACGATAATGTAAGTCATCCCTAATAACACGTTTGTAACAACAATGGCCATTTAAAAAACCATAAAAGTTCTGCGATATCCTAATTGCATTTTTATCTTCACCACCGAGCCGTGACTCTGTCAAAATCACACTAATGATTGCAATGATTTCTGAAACAGCTTTATGATTACTATTAGCTGTATTTTTATCTGTATTTCTAACTTCTTAAGGTTTATTTTGATGTGCGGTTATTCTGTACGATATAATATCATTCCAGGATATCAAGTTTGTTAATCTTGCAAGACCTTTTTTCTCGGTAACCTATTGTTTTAATTTTGAATATTTTGTTACCTTTGTGATTTGATTTTTAAACTGTCAACATCTGTACATCCGATTACGTGCAACTATTAGTAAATCATTTTTAAATTTAGGGGAACAATGGTGAGTAAAATCTATTAGGCAGAAAAAAAAAACTGTTCAATTAATATAATCAATTGTTCAAAGAATTAACCACGGTTATACCGCTGTAGTAGAAAGTTTAACATAAATATCTTCTACACAAATTTCACAAAGAATCGAACAGCCTGCAGCCTAAGAAGGAAGCATTCACAATGTCGGTAAAGTCTATAATAAATAACAGAATTCTGATGATCCTTTTAAAAAACACTCTAGTGTACTTACAACCTCGTCTAAATACAGTCCTCGTGCACTTGGACGAACTTAAAGTATAGCAAAAACTTAATGTGACCCGAAAGCACTTAATTTGCATACAGTATACAGGCTGATATGTAGTTATCACTCACTTTTTATGTTAATTTTATCAATATTGTCTCATGTATTGCGAGGAGACAAAGGAATCTGAGACATTACTATAATGACACATGCAATTTTAGGCAGAAGCTTATACATAGAAGAGGTGGATGCCCAGCAGTGGGACAATAAACAGCAATGATATTTACCGAGGCCAATTTTTGTAACAAATTAATGTGATTGTTTTAATAAAACCTAATCCGCGAAAACATATTAATTTACCTGGCCTCTATTGCACAATGTTTTTTCAGTACAACATAACGAGCAATTATATTTTTTTATTAAAAGGACCTTCAGACCTATTAATTATCAAAAGCATTATGCAGTATTATGCAGCATTGTTTGCACCAATTTGAATATATTACATTAATATATACCATTTGTTATGTATGTACAGTAATGCATTGTTGTATAAGATTACGGAAAAAACAAAGTCAGACAGTTTTTTTACTAACCTCGTAGCAAACAATTACGCGGCACACTTGAGAAGCAATTAGAGCGGGTGTGATTTGCATCAGTGCGCATTCTCTCATCTCTTATCGCCAATATCTAGAAGCAATAGTAAACAAATTAGGCTCGTTTTGTATAATTCCAAATTAATGCTACAAAAGTTATCCAGAAGAATTCCGAATGGTGGAATGAATTGGTGATGGTATGAAGGCCAAAAGTGCCGGAAACCAAGAATTCAGTTCTTCAATTCTGCTATTTTAATATTGTATTATTAGACTGTTGATGGACTGTCGTCGGAATAGTTTTGCACTTTTCGTATTCTACTGTCTATATAGGACCATAGGCCTCCTGATGACTTGTCACTGATACAAATTTATCTAAACGGTACACTTCAAATTTGTAAGGAAAAAAAATATTTAATTTGCCAGATATGGCAATATTGTTAATATCGCCATTTATGAGCCATTCTCACTACATCGACAGTCTATTGACACTCAATTTATGTTAGTAGAATACCGATATTTTGACCGATGTTAATGGCATCTCAATAGATGTTAACCCAAGTTTTATTATGAAAGGTTTAATGATAATAAAAGCTTGTGAGATATGTAAGGACAGAAGAATATGGTGGTATATTGTTTCTTTTTGCTGTATCTATGTAAAATACTCTAAATGCAAAAAGAACATAGTTATTGGATACTATTGTTAATAATTCATTACTTGGTTATAGAGCTTATAGAGTTAACATAAGGGAGTCTGTTTCGTGACAGAAGTTTAATAATACGACGATTACTCGTAGTGTAGTACAAACGTAGGTCGTATATTTTTTGCGTTTTAGTTAATTTCTCGAAGTTATTGTTGTATACCAGAACCACGTCGATAAAGCACGTCGATGACACTAGATTGTCGGATTTCAATCTTAAACATCTCCGTTACACGTCCAGCAATTATTATAATAATCTTAAACACGGCCGTCTGATCCCAAATTAAATAGAGTCTGTACTATGGTAACCAGACTGCTGATAAACATACTTATATATTTCTAAATACATACATATTATAGATAAATTACACTCGGACACAAAACAAATGATCGTGTATATCAATTATTTGTCCGTTGTGGGTATCGAGCCCACGACCTTTCCTTAGTAGCCAGGATAACTAACCCATAGACCCGTCAACATTTAGTTTGCCGCTGCTGTTTGTTTGTGGTCCAATAGAACGATAACTAAAACTTATAATAGGTAATTTTATTCCAGACGCCTGTAGACATACAAGAGCAATGTTGCTTTGCGTTGAAGCCTTCTTAACATTTAGTGGATAAAGAATTCATTGGACTATTTTGAGACCTATTTATATTTTAAATATTGGTTTACGAGTATGTTGGACAAACACACATTTTGTAAAAATTAAAGTCATAGGTATAAATTTTATTTTATTTTTTATACTTTTTTATTACTTTGGGCAATGTGTTGCATCTGCATCTTTTAACATTAATTAAAATGTTAGAAGTAAAGAAACTAAGTAAGAGATGAGAAGAGAACAGTAAAGATTTCAAATATTTAGGACAGACATAATTGTATGTATAGCCTTCTGTGCGTCTATGTTATGCTGAGGTGGCGACTTTTTCGAGCTTAAACTATGGAATATTTTAGCTCATAGTTATTATTTTGTATATTTAATTTTATTTTTACCATCAATAAAAATAATCTTGAAGAAGTACTAAAACATCCATCTACCCTTAGAATTATTCGCGTTTAAAATGTTACATTACATGTTATATTTGTGCAATGGAAGCACAAAGAACGGTTAGTATGAATACAAA